TTTTACAGATGGGCTATTGGCATTACCGCTATGTCGCAGCTCATTATTATTGTTTCATGAAGAGCGCAGACAAAAAACATCCGTGAGCATAGTTCAAATATGTCTGCTGCTCGTGTTCATCCATGGAAGCAAGGGACTGCCTGTCGTAGCATGCATGCTTGATCTCTAGCTTCAGCTGAGTCGCATACGTTTTGTGAATTAAAGTATACGGTCGTCCCGAAAGTTTCAGACATCGAGGGCGTTTCTCTGAAACATGCTTTGGGTGCACGTGGGCCCGTTTGTGAAGGAATGTCCCTGTTGCCTAAAAAATCAAATTTCAAAAGTGAAAGAAAAAAAACAAGAAATAAGGACGGGTACACACTTATTCCCTTGTTCGAATTCAATATGAGCAGCTGTCACCATTGCTGAGAAACCCTCAGCTCCGGCATTAGGTTCCAAATTGTTATAGCATTTTTGAACTTATGCATTGGAAATGACGCAATAACATTGATAAAATGTTTTCTCCAAAAGTGAGAATGTCTGCCCCAAAACCAGTTTTTGCCTGCTACAAGAGCTCCAAATCACCATTTGTTAGTTCCACCATTGCAGTAACCACTTGCTTTAACTTAATTTATTCTAACTGTGCTGTTTGTTTTACCTTTTCAGATCGAGCATCGCTCAAGGCAGGCGTTTTCTGTGACCTAATAAAGATACAACAGGTTTGATTTTGCATTTTACTTGTCATTTTATTGGCTGCTCTCCTTGAAGTTAACTTGCAGGGATCCTATGGCAGTCGAAAGTATGTAATAGTTTCTCTGGCAACGCTGCAATCTGGTTAGCCTATCCTATCAGCTCAGCAGTGATCACAATCACACCTTCCATCAAATATGTTCCATCAAAGACCACCACAATACGTTCCATCAAAGACCACCACAATACGTTCCATCAAAGACCACCACAGTACGTTCCATCAAAGACCACCACATACGTAATTTGGGACATTCCATCAGTGGCAGTCAGACGTCATCTGATGGACCATCAGGGCACGTTCCACCAGGGCTGCTGACTGGCAGTCAGTGTCCCAAATTACGTACCTTGATGGAATTTTCAATAGGGTTTTCCGCCCACCCCAAAGCAAAGGTCTGGATCCGCCACACTAAGTTTCAATTATTGGGAAGATCGAGACATCAGAGGCCGAGTTCAAAGAGCAAACTTACGATAAAAAATTGCGTATGACAAAACCCGAGAAGAAATCCTTATTAACAAAACAAGATTGTCGCAACTTTTGTGTGACTTACAACGAAATATTACGACATTATCCAAAGTGTCTCACAAACTTTTTAGGGCGAACATGGCCGCACATCACTTGGCTATTTCGCCGCGACCAGCAATGAATATAGAAGCGTGGGCAAGAGGCATGTGTTTTGCGCACTGTTCACATGCATCCCTACTTGAAGCAGCCTAAGGACAATGCTACACTACACACGGAGGATTCAGCCGACGAGTCTGCCGAGCTGTCCATCCTGCCCGTTAGAGCTAACGAGGTGCAGGACTGCGATCAACGGCGAGATGCGCCAATGAATCAACGAAAGAAAATGCCACACAAATCTTCAGAGCACCCAAAAGGATCCTTCACCTATGAATGGCGTGAACCTGATTTGGGGATCACTAACGCCCCCTCGTACTTCAGTAGTGATTTTCAAAGTGGTGAGGAGCTGTGCGACCCTACCACACGAAAAGGCGCATTCCTGACTGGATGTGCCTTTTTAATGCCAAAGCATTATATGTCCATCAGTGTTGCGGAGTTGTGACTCCGGAGTTGGAATGATTCCGGAATCATTCTGAATTTTCGCGACCCCGGAATGGAATGGGAATGGAATGGCGGCAACGTTGAGGGGAATGGAATGGGAATGGAATTAGGTGCCTTTTTCCCGGAATGGAATGGAAATAAAATGGGCCCGGTTCTCCTAATTTTTTTTTTTTTTTTAGTGTTTACGGTCAGTGAACTTGAGCCAGTCAGCGAGCCAGTTTCTCAGAAATAAAATGAGCAAGCGGAAAACAGCTAACCCGCTTGGAGCTCTAACAGACTTATATGCAAAAAAGGCAATACAAAAAAGAAGCGTCAAAGCAAAGAGCAGAGGGGGAGGGGGGTGGGGCTGGCGGTGGCGCCTTTCGCACAGGCGACGGGCTTTACTGGCGTTACACGAGAGCGAGCGAAACAAGAAACCAAGCAAAAGGAACGAAGGCATGGAGAGGACACGCGCGCACAGACTGAGATCTGGGAGCGGGGGACGACTCATACCTCGCAGAGCTCTGATAACTCGTTGACTCACGCGCCGCGGAAAGATGCCCAGTTATTGTTTCCTTATAGTTCGAGGAGCGTTGTTTAGCAGGCGGCCTGTTGCCTTCCATATTCATTCGCGTGCACTCCTTTGAAGTGCGAAATCTGGGTTTGTTTCGGCATTAAAACAAAGTGAGATTCACTTTTCTCTTCTCTTGCACTTTGCTGCGACGCTTGTCTTTTTATACTGCATTTTTACGTGTAGGTCCGCCTTTTGCTTGGTCTTTGTTCCGATGCTTGTTTTCTGTGTTATATGTTTTACATTTAAGTGGGTTAGGGTTACAAGCAAGCTAGCGGATTCCCGCTCATTTCCTTTGACTTTAGTCTCTGCCTACTGTGTTTCACCTTGTGATGGACCGCTGCGGACGCTACGAGTCACCCCAGGCAATCCTGCACAGTGAGGGGGACTACACGCACGGCGCGTTGCTGCGCCCCAGGGTCATGCGACACTAAGAACAGAAGGCACTGGATTGGTTTCGATGGCTCTCTTGCTGTCTGTTGCGGTCCATCGTAAGGTGAAGTAGATTGTCGCCACCGCTCTTGTCGCGTGACCGAACTGACTAGACCTGCAGAAAGACAGTTTCGTGACATGGTATATACAGTCTCTCGTGCTGTGCCGTACAGGTTGCACTTTGTCAGAGGATCTGTTCTTGCCACTGTACATGGAGTCGCCTCCAGCAGCGTACTAGCCGTATTGCTGTGCAGGTATTTGAAGAATACAGTAATCTAGCTTATTTCTGCATCACGCACGAACTGGACATTTTTATGGTCCTATCAAACAAACACGCTTGCTGCGTATGTCCTAGAAAACAAATGCAAAACATTTTACCAAACAAATTTGTGGATTTAAGTTTTGCTGTTTGTTGCGAGCCACGTGGTCGAAAGACCGACGTTTTAAACAAGCATCGAGATATCAAGGGGCTTTCTCGATGTTTGCATACAATGTAAACAAACAGTTTGTGGCACCAGCGCTCCGCTTAGTAAAATCAGTGCTTTTTTTAGGCATTTTGCATTTTATTGCAATTGTCTGTGCGTTTGGTAACGTCAACTTTACGGTGCTTATGCCGGCAACACAATGTAGCTGTCAAGTGCCAACTCTTACGTTTAGGAATCAGAGGAATGGAATGGAACGATTCATCCATTCCAGGAATGGGAATGGGCCCAGTGTCCCAATTCCTAGGAGTTGAAAAGAATTGAATTATCGCAAACTCTAATTCCCCGGAATGGAATTGGAATGGAATGGGGGTGCCCATTCCGCAACACTGATGTCCATGGAGCGGAAAATCCGAGTTGTACCAAACGTTAACAGAGGAATAAAAGAAAGAATAAAATGTGCTTCCACGGCTGAGATTTCAACCCGGTGCTGCTGTGTGAGAGCCGGGCATGCTAGCTGTTGTGCTATCTCAGCCGCTTCGGAATGCGACATTACTCTCCCCTCAAAGAGAAGCTTGTCCCAATACAGCAAAAGATGGCATGTCTTTACCCGTTCTTTGTCCCTGTTTATCTGAGGCTGTTTTTACATCATGTTTGACGGCATCGGCGTTGATGTGCCCGAAAGATGGTCATAAAAATACGTCCTCGGTTCGATGACATCACACTTCACGTGACGACATGACGTACCATGATGTGTGACGCTGTATGATGTAACGTAATACAAATATTAGAGGGGCACTTAGTTATACCTACGTGGATTGAATGCGAAAGCATTGCCATTCCTAACAATAGAGGAAAAAAAAAAGGAAGTGTCGTTAGGAATGGCAATGCTTTCGCATTCAATCCACAAGGGGATACCTAAGTGCCCCTGTAATATTTTGTGTGGAGTAGAACTCAAATAAACGCCGTAGGGTGCAGTATATCCATGATTAGGTTGCTGCTAGTTGTGAGGCTTAATGTTTTGCACCAACAATACCATAGTTTTTCCTCGGTTGCGACGAAGTGCCACTGCGCTAAGAACTTGCTAGAAATTTCTGCATATGCGACCACTTTCTTCTGGAAGCCTATGGTGACCTGCCACTCACTTTTGGCCATAGAACAGTGAAAATACCAGATGTGAAAACAGCCATAACAAGCATTAAAAAAATCAAGATGGGGGTCATAGCAATAGCTTCCCAACGTGGCGCTACTAGCACAGGATTTCTGTTACTCGCCGTTTAAGACAGGAGTCGACTTTTTCCGGTCTGATCTTGAAAACAAAGTTTGGTTCGGTTAATTTTGTAGCAGAAAGCCGTGCTTTCCCGTTTGTGGGGTCATTTTGTCGGTTCAAAATATGATGCAGAGTCCTTCCCATAAAAATGCATGGGTGCCCGCTAGGACTCTTCGAAATGGCTAAATTAACTGAGGTCATTATACTCTGTTGCCACTCTAGAATAGCAGAAGGCCCTCCCACAAAGCCCTTCACTCTTTTTAATAAGCAAACACTAGAGAGGAGGAGAGCCGAGAGGACACAGCCAATCACGGCGAGCGAAGGGAATTGTGGGAGGGGCTTGTGCTATTCTATAGTTGCAACGGACTATAACAAAAGTTTACAGTACTATGAAAACAAAAAGACCAAGTATGCACAGAAATTCGCAGGAAGTGTAGCAGGGACAGAAAAAACTGCAGCTGCAATATTTACCCTTTAAATTTCCCTCGACAGCACAGCAGAGATGGCATGCTGGTCGTCAGCGCCTGGAGGGCCACCCCCTTGTACTGGGGGCACATGTAGTCTGAAACGAACAACAAACAACAAATTAAATGCATGGACAATCCGCACATGCTGTTACTTCGCTTCATTGGCCGCTTCAAAGAAAGGAAGCATGCACACCGTTGTCCAACCATGTCAACTGCTAGCCGAAATTTTCTGCCACCAAGATTAAGATATTGCTTGCGCTATAAAAAAAAAAACATTTACACACTACCCAGCTGGCACGCTGAAAGTTCAAACATTGAAGAAACTACAACATAAAACTTCAATGCAAGAGCTACACCTCATGGACAATACACAAAAGTATGTTCAGCCTAGGTGCACCGTAAGGCTGATTTACCTCAGCCAGTTTGGAACATCTGCAGTTCCATTCTTTTCAAGATTATGCCTGAAAATTTGTGACAAATTAACTGGGTTAAATTTTTTTATTCGACGCCCGGCCCACATATTTAGGAAGTATACTAGTGGGTTAATTTCTAACTTACCATAATTATTTTCGGCATCCTGAAGGCGTCGCTTCAGGGTCCAGTTTTCATATTGGATTTACCTCGCCCACACAGCTGCAACGACACTGACATGTTTGCAAAGTTTCAGGCAGGGTAATTAAACGTCTGCAGTTTCTCTCAAACACCGCTGTCACAAATTTTGTCTTTTTTGTCATTTTGGTTTGTTTAAGGATGGTTTGGGGGGAGGGTCAATTACAATCCTCGCACATGTTTACCTGAGCGTCAAAGGCTTGAGCTCGGATGAGACTATACTCCTTTTCATACTTAAGGTGCAACGCTGTCAAAGCTACTGGCGAGAGCGTGGGGCTTGATCTTGTTGATCATTTGCACGCCTTCTCGCGCAAGCAAAACCGTAGATGAAGCCGCGCACTCGCGCCAGTAGCTTTGACAGCGTTGCACGCTAAGTATGAAACAGAGTATAATGCCGGCCGAGCTTCACACCAATGGGAAGAGGAAGACAAGCGTTTTGGGGTGACCAACCACGAACCTGTGACAACCGCATGGGTCATTCAACACACGTCTTATACCGCTTAAAGACTGTGTCGAACTGCATTTTGAAGTCAGTCCCAATTCCAACGGTGTATGAACAAGGGCTTTTTATTTCGTGGCATGCCTTGAAATTAATCGAAGTGATGCAAGCTCGGAACACACTGCTGCTGCTTCATTTGGGAATAACTGCGGCCCTCGGCTTGATCACATCACAATTGCAAAATGAAAGAGAAAAAAAAGAGGCGAAAGGAACAACTGCTTTATCAAAAGTTCTAACCGACAAATGTAAACCCAGTTCAATTCTAGAAAGCCAGGGGACCGAAGTGTGTCCTAACAGTACAATTTAGTCCACTTCCATAACTTCAAAACAAAAGATGGATATCCTCTTCAACCATTTTGACTGAAAAGGAATATTGTCTCTGCATGAACCGAATTCCAAGGAAGTCTAACTTCGGAAATGTAATGAAGTATTATCAATGTAATCAATTTATAGTTGAAAGACATCAGTACACTGCTAGACCAATAAGACATTTCCTAAAGCAACGGACTGAAAGTAGCATTAGGAATTCAATACGTGCTCTGTTGACATGAGCTACACTTTCTCGGACCATACACAGAATGAGTGGCAACTTTTCATTACGCTACACATAGATCCAAACATTAGGACAGATAGATAAAGCAAACCCAACTAGTTAAAAAAAAGAAGAAGAAAAAACATTCTAGCTTAACGAGAAAATAGGGAGTTTTAGAATATCGGGCGCTACTTTACCGCGCGTTACGGACGGCAAAATAGCGAGGATTGCGGCGAAGAGTTTTAGAATAGCGTTTTTTTGAAGGGGACCCCCCCCCCCCCCCCCCCAAACGCAAGCATCTCGCGCTTAAAACGCAACCAAGATGTCGCGACAGCTTTTATTTGAAAGTAAGAACGTTTTATCTTGAAAATTAAACAAGCTTTTTGTCCAGAGTAACATTTTTATAGTTTTTTTTACACTCAATGCCGGATGTTTTGTTTTTGTCGCTGCGAAACTGCTCTGTTGTACTTACGAAGCCCAGACGATCCACTACCCAGGCATGCTTACATGTCTGCCGCGATCGTAAGTACACGCGCCTCGATAGCTTTGAGCTGTGAATCCAGCGATCCGTGGCGTTTTCAATACGCTTCGACCATACCGACCGCGGTCGCCGAGTGCGACTCACGCAGTTCCCGAGCGGGCGACGGCGTCGAAGACGCGATCAACAGAGATGTCGTGGGCGCCGCCTTTTGCGGTACGCCGCCTTTTGCGGTACCCACGCTATTATCGAGAAATAACGGGCCCCAAAGCTCGAGTCCGAAGCTTGTTTTGGGTCTGCGCATGCACAGCAGCTACGAGATTATTCTAAAACTCCATAATGTTCACTTCTCGTTCAACGCGTACAATGCAAACAAAGAAGTATGCTTACCAACTGCGTTGAGTTGCTCGTTCTGTCGCGTCGTCGGCCTTCCGCGCTCTTCTTGAACATAATCATCACAAGAGAAAACTTCACAGATAGATAAACTTGATTAAATTAGCACATTTCCATGTCTAAAGGCATTTCCATCCCGCGACACACCCAAGACCCAAGGGTCGGAAAACTGGCGAAACTATGCCGACCATGCCGGAAAGGGAAAAAAACAAAGAACTGGTGTCGCTACCGATGGGGCGTCGAAGACGCGATCCTTAAAATATGAAACCGAAACCAGTAAAAGTTACAATACTGAAACCGAAACTGACCAAATCGCGATATAGGGGCGCCTAAATAGATCTGTTCACATGATGCATCTTGTTGGCGAATCTTGTGTCGCGAAACTAGGTTTCGGGAAACAGATACCCCGTCTGAACGCAACCGAAAAAGTGGCGCGCCTTCGAAAAAAGTGGCGCGTGTTTCTCGCTTCTGGAGCAATTTTTCTCTGAAACCTCACCGACGCCCGTCAATCTCCCGAAGGAGAAACGTGGACGCTGCCAATGGCCGCTCGACTTCGCTATGACGTCTGACCTTCGAGGAGGAGCGAGCTTTTGGAGGAGTCTGATTTTCGGCCGATTCCGTATCCGAGCCGAAGCCGAAAGAAAACAAAACAAACATGTCGAGCGACAAGCCCCTATGCGACAAGCGGCGAAGCGATGCATACGGGCGACGAGTCTTGGTCCTACTCGGTTGCGCAGGTGTGTGAACGGCGCCTACAGTACGGATTGGGGGCGGGGTGCAGATTCGTCAACAGTCGCGGCGGGTGCAAGCACTGTATATAAACATGATGACTGGGGATAACGTTCTTTATTAGCGGTGCAAAAATGTCCGAAATGCTTCGAGATCATCTCGCGGTTTTTCCCGGGTTTAGCATGACTAGTAAACCCCTTGAGCTGAATCTGACGAAATTCATTGAGTGGCATTAATAAAACAGGCTGTCTCTTCACACTGTGCGTACTTCATATCATTTTGATGCGAGACGCTTAATATTCCCGGTGCAGACAAGGTTTGGCGAAATTCTCGTGAGTCAATACGTCACAGGTTTCGCGCGTCAAACTCCACGTGTGAACAGGCCGATTTCGCGAAATCTTAGTTTCGCTAAACTGTGGCGCGTTGAAGACATACATCGTTTGAATAAGCCTTTAAAAGTAAAAGAGAGTGAATACAGTTATTATTTTAAGCACAGGAAATAAATCTGTATATCAGAACTAGCACCGACGCGCTATTTGTTTCGGGTGCAATGCAGTAGGGAGTAGATTTATTGAATTTTTTTTTTTGATAACACTCATTTCAAATTTCAATGTGTAATGAGTAAACACAAAAGAATCGCTATTGATTGGGTAACGATAAACCTCACTTAAATTTGTAATGAGTAAACTGAAAAGAAGTGATATTGATTGGGTAACGATAAACCTCACATGAATTTGTAATGAGTAAATTCAAAATAATAGATATGGAGTGGGTAATGATAAAACTCATTTAACGATGAGTTTCTTATGAGTTTCATTTGAATCTATAAAAACACATTAGAAGCTCAATTGAAACTCATTGTTCATTTTTGTAAGGGGTTCGCTCTTACATTTTTACGATGTTCAACCATGCAGGCCACCAAATTAGTTTTTCCTCAACATCAGCAACCACTTCGAGCTTCGGTCCAGCAAAATAACCCCCCCCCCCCCCCACAAAAAAAAAAAAAAAAAGAAATCCGCTTATTTGCAGCGCGCCCTTTCACGCTGACACCACCCAAGACCAGACTGCTCCGAGTCTAAACCCCTGGGCTGTAAGATTAACATTCCATCTCTGTAGCATTGTGATTCCTCTGATTTAAATGCCAACTTTACTTTACTTTTCTTCTAGTAGTTCTAATTGTAAATTATACTGCATGTTTCTTCTTCCTTCGTCGAGCCAAAAAAACGGGTTGCGTTCCATCACGGTGGAAGAAATACATTTAGGTGACGACTTTCTGTCCGACGCGTCGACCAGATTATGTTCGGCGCACCGAGCGCGCTTCACTCTCACAAGTATAGATAGCGCCCTAGTTTAGAGGGGCTTGGGAAGGCTTGTATAGGAGGCTTGTGAAAGAATTGATGCATTCTTTACTTGCTCCCTGTGTAGTCTGGTAAAATGATAGATTTATGCTGCCGCATTGGCACTGGTTGCCTTTTCCTCCGTGCGGTGGCTGTTTTTAAAACGAGAACATTCCGATGATGACTCAACGTGACGAAAATACTCATATAAATATAAAACTTCCCGACACAATCTACTGGGCTTTCAATGATTTAGATTAATATGAAATAATTCCGTTAAACAGCGGGGCCGTGCTCGCATGTTTTGTCCGACGGCATGTTCGGTAACAGTTCCGCATATTGTTTACACAGATTGCTTGGCTTTATACGAGGTCGGCGGGTTTTTTTCCACTCTGCTCCTGTCTTCTTATGGTAAAAAAAAAAAAAATAATAATGTTACGAAGTGGGGCCTAAATAATTCTTTTCATGCGCAGAAAGGTATTAGCGTTACAAATGATTTATACACAAAATGTCAACTGGTACCAGTGTTGCGGAGTTGCCACTCCGGAGTTGGAATGATTCCCGGAATCATTCCGTATTTTCACGACCCCGGAATGGAATGCGAATGGAAAGGCGGCAACGTTGACGGAATGGAATGGGAATGGAATGGGGCACGGTTCTTCTTTTTTTCCTTTTTTTAGTGTTTGCGGTCAGTTAAACCGAGCCAGTCAGCGAGTCAGTTGATCAGAAATAAAATGAGCGGGAAACTGCTAGCCCGTGTGGAGCCCTAACAGACTTAAACGCAAAAAAAAAAAAAAAAATGCAATACAAAAAACAAGCGTCAAACCAAAGAGCAAAGGGGGAAAGGAGGGTAACGTGGCGCCTTTCACGGACGCGCAAGCGTCGGGCTTCGATGGCGTTGCACAAGAGCGAAACAAGAAACCAAGCACCAAGCAAAAGAAAAGGGAGCGGCTAAGAAAGAAACTGCCATGCACAACTCCTCCTCGTACTTCTTGTCATGCTTCTTTTGTTGGTGCTGCGACGGTTTGTAGAATGCACGCGCGTGCACAGACTGAGATCTGGGAGCGGGGGACGACTCATAACTCCAGCAAAGTAGAAATTTGGGCTAGTTGGTTCATGATCAGTATTTACAGCGCCAAAAAACGACAGGACAAAGACGGTTCATGATCAGTATTTACAGCGCCAAAAAACGACAGGACAAAGACGTTCACTTTGTCCTGTCGTTTTTTGGCGCTGTAAATACTGACTCATAACTCGCAGAGCTCGATAACCCGTTCACTCGGGCGCCGCCGCAAGATGATCAGGTATTGTTTTCTTATAGTTCGAGGAGCGTTGTTTAGCAGGCAGCCAACCCTGCTGCCTTCCACGTTCATTCGTGCGCACTCTTTTGAAGTGCGAAATGTGGAATTGCTTCGGCATTAAAACAAAGCGAGATTCACTTCCCTCTTCTCCTCTCAAGCTCTGCTCCAAGGCTTCTTTTTTTTTTTTTTTTTTTTATACTGCATTTGTAGTGTAAGTCCGCCTTTTACTTGGTCTTTGTTCCGATGCTTGTTTTTTGTGTTATATGTTTTAGTGGGTTGGGGTTACAAGCAAGCTAGCGGATTCCCGCTCATTTCCTTTGACTTTAGTCTCTGCATACTTCGTTTCACATTGCGATGGACTGCTGCGGACGCAACGAGTCACCCGGTCACGCGACACTCAGAAGGCACTGGATTGGTTTCGATGACTCTCGTGCTGTCTGTTGAGGTCCATCGTAAGGTGAAGAAAACTATAGTCACCGCTCTTGGTGTGACCAAACTGACTAGACCTGCAGAAAGACCGTCCCGCGCCAGACGAGGCGCGACCGTTGTGTGAGGACAACTGAGAAGGAGAGCTGGGTGCTAGCTGCCACTGAGGTTTTGGCTTCCGCGCGTCTGGGCTGTCCAGTCTGAATTCGTGCTCCTTGGCCTGGACCCTGTCTGAGGCGGTGAGAAGTCAGTTGGACGGTGGTGTTGAGGAAACACGGGGAATGTCAATTCCAACGGTACGGTATTACCCCGTTAATTGTATCTTGATGTGAAGAGCTTTGTCAACGCTGACTGCCCGACCCGTCGCCACAACACGAAAAGCCGACACCGAGGTACAAGAATGAATCGGTTGGTACCGTCTGCTGCCTGAACGCGCCGCTCGATCAGCGCGAAGAGTAACACCACAATTCGTACGAGAAGACAAGATAAATACAGACCGAGTCATGGCATCGTAGAAGATATTTTTCGACATTAGTCTCGAAGAAAATAAACAAGCTGCACGCTGAAAGTTGTGCAACGAAACTATACACGGTGCAGTCGGCGTATATCATCGAACTTTATTCGCCATCTAAAGAGGAAACACGAGAATGAGCGTGCGAAGGGTGGAAAAGGGCATCCGAATCAGCCAAAAATTGAATTGAATACAATAAGAAATATCGAGATTCGTAAAGCAAGCGTGAACTTGTGCGTTTTAAAACAGGTTTCGCGACATGCATGTCGCGAAACCTGCTTTAAAACGCACAAGTTCACGCTTGGGCACAAGTGCACGCACGAGGGACCGTACGACCATGGTCTTACAGTCCCTCGTGCTGCGCCGCAGAGGTTGCATTTTGTCTGAGGGTGTGCTCTTGCTGCTGTGCACGGAGTCACTTCCAGCAGTGTACTAGCCGTGTTGCTGTATCTGAAGAATACAGTAATATAGCTTATTCCTGCGCCACGCACGAACTGGGTATTTTTATGGTCTTATCAAACGAACACGCTGGCCGCGTATGTTCTAAAAGTCAAATGCAAAAAGTTAGAAAATAGAAAAGAAAATCAGTGGATTCAAGTTTTGTTGTTTGTTGCGAGCCACGTGGTCGCGAAACCAATGACCTAAAGAAGCATCGACATATCAAGGGGATTTCTCGATGTTTGCAGTACATTTTAAATAAACGCTTTGTTCCATCAGCGGTCCGCTTAGTAA